ATTAAACTTCCCACCTGATTTTTGAATATGAATTTTGAAAAATGGGGTTTCCTGTAATTTTTCCTATTTGTAATGATTATTTTCTACTTAAATAGTTGGATAATGCTAGATGTACATTAAAAGTTTGACATTGTTATTGACGGTCCATTATTTTCAAAAAAAAAAAAAAAGTCTTGGTGGGTAGGGGCGGACTTAATGAAGGCTCGGTCTGCACTGCACTAGAATTTTGGGCTACCCCGTTCATTTAACAATATGTCAACAGCGCAAGTTAAAACATAAAAAATAAATAAATAAAATTGAAATGGGCAAAATAATTGGCCCATATTATCTTATTAACTACATTCTACAAACCCTTCCAAATGAATCATTGCCATGATTTTGAACCCCCATTTTGACCCATTATTTGGGATTATAATGTTTGGAAAAATATTTTTTTTGGAAAATGGATGGTTGAAAAAAAAATGAAAAGATTTTGGTTTATGTGAAGTATTATTTTATTGAAAAATGTGCGGTTGAAAAAAAAAAGAGAAAAATATATTATAATTCTAAGGAAAAATTGCAGTCACGGTATCAAACATTTCGTTTAATTGCAAATTTTGTTTAAACATTTCATTTGTACTACACACGGTACCAAATCTTTAAAAAACTCGCACCTAAAGCCAAATTAATAGAAACCATTAGTTTGACCGTTAGGAGACCAAAAATTAAAGGTCCGACCAAATGTTAACTAGTTTTTAAATGGCAAAAGGGTAATTTTACATTTTTTTTCATATAAAAAAACTAAAATAAAATAATTAAATCAAAAACCAAAAAACCTATATTACCCAACCCAACCCCACCCTACCCAATCCAAAACCAAAAGCCCAAAATGTGGGCACCACCTCATCCATCACCACCATGTCGGAGAATTCAAGCAACCCTCCGACTCCTCTGCACGAATTCTTCACATTTCAAACAAAAACTAATGTGTTGCCTGAGAGAATTCCACTAAGTGCTTTTGATCCATTCTCTCTTCCAAGTCGAGGCGGGATCTCTCCACTTAGCTGGTTGCTGTTCAAGTCCAACCAAACTAGGTGCAATTTGCCAACTCTTTCGATATCTGATCATTCAAGCTGTTATTTGCAAGTTGCAAAACAGCTAGCCTCGCTAGATACTCGAATTCTCATGGAATCTCACCACTCAGCCCATTGCTTGCGAGTGAAAACCATTCCAGATTAACACTATTGAATAACTCCGTTGGGATTCTGCCACTTAAATGGTTATTATTCAGAATAAGATTTTTCAGTTTCTTTCATTTCCTAGCTCTGCTGGTATATTCCCTTCCAAGTTGTTGTACTAGGCAATCAGTTGCTCTAGATTCTCAAGATTCCCAAGTTCTGCTTGAATTCTCCGGCATGGTGGTGATTGGTAAGGTGGCGCCGAAGTTGTGTTGGTGTGGTGGTATCGGCATTTTGGGTAGGGGTGTAAGCGGTCCGGTTTTTGCGATTTTTGACAAATTTTCAAACCAAACCATTTTGACCGGTTTGAAAAAA